TAAAAAATGTAAATTGACATTACCAGATTTCCGTGCCTGCGCGACGCTTCACATCTGATGTTTTTTCATTGAAATAACTTTTTTTTTTCAAATCAGTTATGTAAATTAGGATTTTAATGTTACATGTTATTAAATGAATGTTTATTGCATGTTTTTAAGTGTGTCGTGTGTTACCTTGATGGTGTTTTGTATTTTTATGACATTGTGCACCTTCTACAGTATGTTAGTACTTTAGCTTATGGGGAAATTATTTGCTTGTTTAGCTAGCATTCTCTTTACCACCTGTGTTTCTATGGTGGTTGTCAGTGTTTTATAAAAGTTCAAAACTGCTTATGATAATTCAATAAGTTTTCTCTGTAAATTTTGGTTTAATCAATAAAACCTTATGATAGCATATTTTTTTACGGTAAAGTTCTGGCAACCACGGATGTTTTTTACCGTAAATTTCATGGATGGATGGATGGATGGATTTATTTATTTAAGAGTAGAAATTAAATTATAAAATTGGAGGGAAAAGGGAATTTTCTAAATAATTTAATGTAGTAATTTACTGATTTTGCAGTAAATAAGTTGTAGGTCTTCTATTATATGACAGGGTATTGCTAACACTAGATTCCGATATACCTTGATGCCTTCCTACCGCTATATAAGAAGGTAAGGCAACATTTTTCAGACACAGACAATTTGAAAAGAGATAATTCAGACCTTATATGTTCCCTTGGTGACAACCTGCAGGAGGCAAGAATTTTTTAAGAATTTGCTAAGGGATAGCTTTCTCCAGGCATTCTAGAATCTAAACCTGCTTGGCTTATGATGTGCTCATGCAGTACTGCAAAAATTCAAAAGGGGGCGCATAACATCAGCAGAGATAGGCTACTCACTGGAGGCTGGGAGTTAGATTCAGGTTCACAATTCACCCATGATCAGATAATGAATGAAACCTAATAAGATGCCGTGAATCCTTTCATTATGCTAAATGGAAGTCGAACAGATGGGATTCATTTCTAACTTTTTTTTCGAGGTGAAGAAGTCACAGGGTACACCACATGTTTACTCCGCTTTTAAAGTGGGGAACTGAAATGACCTCCGCTGTTATAAATTGCTCATAATCCACTGGAGATGGTCTTAATGTTATGATATTTGTCTGCATCATCGGAGCCTTTGTGTGTGGGTGTGTTTGAGTGTATGATTCAGTAATTTTATAGCACATCTGTCGATGCGCAGTCTTTTCTAAAGCACTGCCTTTAACTCAATGCAGCACACTTTCATGTGTGTTTCGTTCGCCAATTAGTCTCAATGACTTCACGTGTTTTTAAAAGGATCTTTTTGCGAAGGTTTCAGCTTTTAAAAAGCTAAAGTGTGATAACCCTAGGATATTAATTTCAGTGTACTGGCCGGTCATGGAATCCGTATTTGCAGCACTTTTGTGCCAGCAGGCATGTCAAGTTTACAGCAGGGCTTCATATGGGACTTGATGACCTTCACGAGCTGCATCAGAGGAGGCCTGACTCCAGCTGCAGAAACATTTCAAATTCAGTCATGTTCTGTGTCGGGGACATTTACTCTTACAAGGAATAAGGGGCCCACGGTTTCTGTGGTTACATGGACCTTTGAAATGTTCAGGTCTTAAAAACTAGTGCAAGATGTTGTTTTTAAGTTGAGAGTGTTGAAAGTGTGTTGAGGACTTGATAAAATGCAGTGCCTGCAGTTATGAATACTATAGTGGGTGAGCTCACTGATCTTTACATACAAAATGAAGTAGATCATTATTACTATGCACTGTGCATCTTACAAATTCTACTTATTTGAGCTTACAAAATGCTCAAGTAAAGTCCGACAAACGTACAGCTCCGTTTGAAGCTTTATTGGAAAGGTATGCTTGTTCCCTCAAGTATAGTTTTACACACACACACACACACACACACACAGACAGAGCGGTTGCTGGCGTGTGCAGCAGATCTTTCAGGAAAGAAAAAACAGATGTGGCCTCTTGTCTCTGTTAGCCACATCTCTCTTCAGGCCAATATACATTTCCAACTGACTGCTTTTAAGAAAGTGACCTATTACGCTGACAGATATATTTTTCAAACATTGTCCGGACTTGTCAAAAGATATCCACGAGGGAGAGTAATTTGTTTGTGAACAGTTTATTAGCAGCAGCGGTAACATTTCCTCTCAGAGCGTCTATTAGGTCTGTCAGTGTATGAATATGACTGCTGATGGATCTTATGCAGCAGTGAAGGACGTAGATAAGAGAATGTCAGAATGAAACAGAGCCAAGTGAGAGAATCAATCCAGCCGTAGGGTCAACTCCAGTGAGTCACGCTGCCCTCTGCTGGCAAACACTTCATGTCAGGCCAATACAGTAAAAGTAGTGTGAATCACATTTATTCGGTCTATATATGTGACCCTGAACCACAAAACCAGTCATAAGTAGCACTGGTATATTTGATATACATTGTATGGGTCAAAATTGTTGATTTTTCGTTTATGCCCAAAATCGTTAGGATATTAAGTAAAGATCATGTTCCATGAAGATATTTTGTACATTTCCTACCATAAATATATCAAAACTTAATTTTTTATTAGTAATATGCATTGCTAAGAACTTCATTTGGACAACTTTAAAGTTGATTTTCTCAATATTTTGATTTTTTTGCACCCTCAGATGCCAGATTTTCAAATAGTTGTATCTCAGCCCAAATATTGTCCTATCCTAACAAACCATACATCAATGGAAAGCTTATTTATTCAGCTTTCAGATGATGTATATTTAAAAAAAATAAAAAAATTGACCCTTATGGTCACTATCGTTCTTTTCATTTCTTACTTTCGTAGACATTAATACTTTTATTCAGCAATGATGCTTTAAATTGCTCAAAAGTGACAGTAAAAACATGTATAATTAAAAACATGCATTGCAAGCACTTTTCAACGCTGATAATATTAAAACATGTTTCTTGAGCACCAAATCAACTTGATTTCAGAAGGATCATGTGAGACTGTAAACTGGAGTAATGGATCTATCTATCTATCTATCTATCTATCTATCTTTACAAACAATGAGCGTTTTTTCTTTTTCAAATTTGTAATTAAAATATTAATTAATGACCATTAAAGTCCTACGGTGAGATAAACGCTGTACTTTAATGCTTGTTATATTATCCCTGAATTCTTTCTCATTCATTTTTATCATAACATGTCTTTATTGCAAAAAAATTTAATAAATCAAATAGAATAAACTAAAGAGACTTCTCATCTTATTCAGAAAGGCGCATGCTGTTTTTAATATCAGCGAAGTTGAGACATCAATCTATTTTAATACTGTTGTATTTTATAATAAACAAGCACGACTTTTACTCTGTTAATATTTATATATTTTGTGACATGCATGATTGTGATGTACCTTCCCTGTTGTGTCTCCTCCTATCTGTATCCTGTTTGAGGTATAATCATTTCACAATCCCCTCCACAAGTCATTAAGCACTCCATGCGCCATACATATATGCATAAAACTCCCCGAATCTTTAATACATGAGCACCATTAATCTCTGTACCATCTTTAAAAGCAGAATTAAACTTTCATTTGTATTTTTCTTTGCTATGTGTCCATTGAGCCCGCAGCCTACTCTACTGCTTAAATATTAATCAGTGCTGAATCACACATTGTGGAGTGACTCTCTCTCTCTCTCGCTCGCTCTCTCTGTCTCTCTTTATGTGCACATCCGTCTCTAGCAGTTTTACACTAAACACAGCAACAAGCACCATCCCCCTCTTCTCTCATTTGATGTTGATGGAGCGCTTGCCGTGATTTTACCATGCACGATCCCTGCCCTTGTTCTTCCTCGACCAGCATTCCTATCAACCAATCTAATTTTTAAGGTTTGGTTTAGAGGTTAGTTTTAGGCTAAAGACTCGGGCTGGACTGTTATCAACCTACAAGTTCCCTCTGACGTGTGGTATAGTTATTAGTTTTAGGATAAAGACTATGTTTATTTGTTAAGAATGTTGTGAAAAAGAACTTGTCCTACTTGGTCACCATAAAGAACTACTCACATCATGATACACTGTAATTTTTGGAGTATGTTGTATAAGAAAATACTGTATCAGTCATTCGGCTTCAAAATGTCACATTTAATTCAATGTGTTACTTGCTATTTATTTGTAATTGTTATTTACTATACATTTCACAGTGAAAATAGCTTCAAAGTGATTTTTTTGGGGGTTTACTTTTCAAATATGTTACACATCTGGACAAAAGTAAAAACGTGCAGGTAACTTTAAAGAATCAGAAATTAATAAATTCTAACATACCATTATATATATAATAAATAATTTCGGTAGTAATAATATTTTTTTTGAGTGGAAGTTACACTGTAAAAAGTTTCAACAGAAAATGAATGTAAATAACGCTAAACTGCGCATTTAAAATGCAACACATTTTACTGTACATTTTTTTATTTAATAATAATTTTTATATTTAAGGAAAAAATTTAGAAAGTATGAATCGGCATTCTCCCAGAATTTCCAGCATGAACTGTTTAGATTTTAATAGCTCATATTGGTCAGTATAGCCTATATTTTAAATTAAATTTACAAACAATTACAAACTCTTCTTTTAAATGTATAAATACATGTAATGTTATAATTGAATGACGTAATAGCGTAAAATACAGACGCCTTACCGTAATACTTGTAATATTACTCCTTAATTTTTAGGGAAAAGTTCTGGTAAGAGCTGGCATTTTGTTTTTTACCGTAAATTTACAAACAATTTTACATTACAGTTCTCAGTTTAGAAACAACAATATTTTAGCATGTCACACACCCACACATCCCTGCAATTATCATTCTTTATCTAATGCGAACTGTAATTAAGTTTAATTTCATTTAATGGCCTTCTTAATGGGCAATATCTCCAAAGTTTGAGTGTGCAGGTCCAGGCGGTCCCTCTCGTCGAGCAGCTCCGCCCCGCAGTCGAGGACAGACAGCGAAGAGACGGAGACATGTGCTGAGAGAGAGACAGACAGCGCGCTGTGGAGGCAGGACCGCTCGTCTTTAGGTAGGAAAGACAGAAAATGTCATTTCGCACTTGTGAGAGCGTCGTCGGTCTGTGAGGAGCAGCAAGTTGTTGACGCGCAGAAGCGACATTTAAAGCGCCACGGCATCAACTTTGCGCGTGATGCGGCGCGTGCGGGTTCAGCATCGCGTCTGTGAGAGCGCCGCGAGACCGCAACCGAGATAACTTTCACACGGCAGTTCGTCACGGAAGTCTAGGCTACTTTTCCCTCTCACTGACTGCTGATAAAGAAGACCGACTCGCTTCAGGTGGCTTCAGAGAGAGGAGACGCACGGACCGCGCGCGCGAGTGTGGAGTACCAGCAGGATTTTAGAGCGCGTACGTTCGCCTGAATGGATGCTAACGATCTGGCCACTTTTTACGAGTCTGAGAAAAGTTTTTGAAAGCGGTTGGAAGGAAGAATGGATGCGAAAAGCGAGCGGTATTGTAGTTTGACACGCAGCGCGATCGTCATGGAAACATCTCAAGCTATGGAGGTCGAGATGCTGGATGGATCCTCCGTGAGAAGTTCATTCGCTGAGCTTTGACTTTACTTTTATTCCTTCGCAGAAGAATGTGATGCGTGTGAATAAGACTCACCCACACGTGATCGTTCTTCTTAAGCGCACCTGTTACTATTAACCGAGCTTGTATTTCCTCCCCGTTTGCGTTGACATTATGGACAAGAACTCTATTGCGTATCAGATGGAGTTGACGCTTTTCATGGTCGTCCTCCTGTTTTGGGTCACCGTGTGTGCGGATGACAGTAAGCTCATTTCAGACCGGTATGCGGTGTACTGGAACAGCACGAATCCCAGGTAAGAAACACCTCAGTGCATCAGGGAGTGCATGGGAGTTTGGCAGGAGTTCTTTGAAACTACAATCAGGGCAGAGTTGTGCTCATTTTTTAGTTTGACCTTTTTATTTAAATATATACTTTTAATATACCTATATTTAAATTAAAAACAAAATATATTTATATAAATATACAGGTGATTCTTTAAGTAGGTAAACTTGTGACCCTCTTGTGAAAAAAGGGCTTTTGTAAACAACCATTATCACAGTTTAAAAATGTTTTTTTTTTTTTTTAAAGATTTATTTTTGGTATTTTTATTTTGATAGGACAGTATAGCAGTGACAGGAAGCGAGAACCCGGGACTCGAACTCGGGACGCCCGGAGCGCAACGGCACACTATATGTCGGCTTTTTTCCTAATTTTAAATAGTTTAAAATCTTTTAAATGTTGCATTTGCAACACTTTATCTACATTAGGCTCATCCTCTACCTAGATATTTTAATTTTTACTTTTCACTTTCCCCCCCAAGAACCTTAAAAATTCAGTTTTGGTGTATTCACGTCAAAGATTCAACATCCCAATACTGTCATTACCATCTCGTTGAACAAATGAGTTTCCTCTAAAAAAAAGTTTCTTACTAGTTATCATGCACATAGAAAAGTCCATATTTTTTTATATTATTTTTCATAAATTTTAAAAACTACATTCTGAAATCCACTTGAAAGCTGATCAGGCCATGCAGAGTACATGTTCCATGTACATGTTTTATTATAGATAAACATAATTTTGAAGTTAGTCAAATGCATCTAATTGAAAAATCACCATATATTTTATTCAATTTGTTTAGTTACGTAAAGTCACTTAACTCAAGTCCGAAACATTCAAAGTCTTCCCTTTGAGTTTTTCATGTGTGATTTCACACAAGAAACAATGAAGATTTCAAAACACACACAAAAAGGCCTCAACTGGGTGTTCCATTTGAAAGTACTTATAGAGCTTCTCACAAAATCAGCCTCTCTATGAGCACATTGTAACTTTATGGCCTCATTTATCGCACGCTTACTGTTTGACACTGTTATGAGTTACTGAGGGCTGTATGCTGCGTTACATTGTGTGCCGTTGTTCCGCGGGGTTGATAATCACCAAAATTATGCTAATGAATGCATACTTTTATATCTTGTCAGCTTTTAAAGACACTGTTATTTTGTTTTCCATTCTTTCATCATGGATGTTCCTGAGGTGGGATCAGTACTCTAGACTTTTCTTTTCATATCACCATATGGTTTAAATAGTCTAAGATGAAGCGCCCCTTTCCGAACACCCCAGCACCCCTCATCAGAGCGCTCTCAGAGGCCGTTTCTGGCAGAGGACGGAGCTTTGTGTAACCACACAGTCAAACTAATACATCACATGCCACAGTTTTAACCAGTATGAGTGATTATTGAGAAGTCCACAGATGTTTGTTCACATCAGTAGTTCTGTGAAGAAGTTTTTTGAGCTTTAGATTCGTACTTTGTGCTGGGGATTGTTGCTTTTTGTATGTTTGTATGGAACGGGTTTTGAGAAGAACAATAGATTGGAAGTTAGGAATCAGAAGGCATTTTTACTTGCGTACCGTTTTTCCAGTTTATCTTAATAGAAAAAACAAAGAGTTTCTGTTACTGAGTGTATAAAAGTTTTTTTTTTTTTGTAAGTAAGAGATTGAACATAGTTTTAGTCTTTATAATGTTTATGGGCTTGATTAAAAAAATGGCTTATGCATTATATAGAATAATTTACAATAATACATGTGTATATATATATATTAAAAATATATATTAAACCCTCCACCCCCTAAACATAGCTAAATTCATTTACAAATCTAAAAGAATAAAGGTAAAACAAGTTTTCTGTTCCCGTATTCCATGCGTCGATACATTAAAAAAATTAAAATGGTTATTACGGCATGTCTGGATCTTTTTTTTTCTCTATTTTTCCACCTGTAAGTTTGTGTCTGCTGTGTTATGTCAGGGCAGTGAAATGTTTGTTCAGCTAAACTGAGATGGGTCTTCCCTCTGTATGTATGTATGTGTGTGTGTGAGAAAGAGAGAGCTCAGGGAAAAGGCATTTCTATTATTAGGCTGTAGAGTGTTTTAACCCATGCTATCGATTTTACCGGTCAGCCTGTAGATCTATGAGATATATACGTATCAGATCTTCCAAGTTTGGATTTTCAGAAACCCAGAGCAGATGTGCATTGTAGCTCTGTGGATTGGGCTTGGTTGTTTGCAGCCCTGCGAAACTGAAATTAGAGTTCGCCGGCTTCATTGTGATCTGTGGTTTTCCAGCACGCCACCATAAAACCCAGCGGTTCTGTCTGGTGTGGTTTGAATCAGGCCTCGACGGTTTGAGTCGTTTACGTGGCTCAGTTAGGAGTGTGAGACTGAAATGACTCCAATCAGAGCATAAATAAATACACTGAAATACATTTCTGCTCGGTATGAGTTGAGCCCGGAGGTGTCGATTTAACCCTTGTGGCTTTACGGTGAGGTCTTCTGAGGAGGCTGGTAGCTTAGAAGAAGCAGTTAGGGTGAAAAGTGAGTTTTCACGTAGGGTACGCCATCCTGCAGATTGCCCGTGCAGCACTTTCGGACAGTTTCAGAACAGAGCCATTCAGGTCTGAAGAGTGATCATTTTTTTTGAATAGTTTCAGCGAATCCTTGCATTACATTTAGTGGACGTTCTTATCTGTAGCGACTTTAATTTCATTAGTAAAAAGCACATGGCATGCTCTTTTATGGATGTTTTGCTAAACATTGCAAAGCGTTTTATTTTTGTAGTTTGATTTATTTTTTTATTTATTAATGTTATCATTATTTTAATTTAATTATTATTTTTAATTAAACATCTTTTTAAATTTTAATTAATTAATTAAAGAAAATATTTTATTGGATTTCCTGTTTTTTCCTGTGCAGGTAAAAAATATGCAATGTATTGTTTTTTTTATGACAAATAAAGATTTTTAAACGGCTCTCTTTTAACATCCTGTTATGATATCCGTATGAGATGTTTTTTTAATCCACTATAATAAGAAACAATCGTACTTGAAGGGAAACTTCAAGCTTCTTAAAGGGAAACTTTCTTCTTTGTCTGGTTTTATTTTGCTGTTTTTTTGTCAGTGTAATTGGTTCCTCAAGGTTATGAGGGATGTCTGGTGTCAGAGGACTCCTGTATGAGGGCAAGACACAGATATGCCTGTATGGATCCACATGGATTTTATTCTCTTAGGGTCATTAACCTCTATTGTGATTAGAATGCCTGGAATTAATGACTTCAAGCTTGACCTTGGCTGCTCGTGTCAAACTTCAGCTCCTGTAGGTGGCATCGCACCATGTTCTGCCCCAGTTTACGGATTTGTCCGCCATTTTGTGAACCCTCACACTTGCCTCTGGATTATGGTGCAAGCTGGAGACAAAAAATGGAGTATGGGGTTAATGCAGTCATACTATGACAACTTACCAAGGATAGTTTTTTTTTCTTTTTTGTTTTGTTCTATTTCAACTTAATTTGTTGGTTTATCACCTGAAGCAGCATTTTGAAACTTTTATAAAATAATTTAGTTACCATTGTAATAATGATCTAGTTTAGTGTCGAAAAATCCAAGTGCTAAATGTAGTTAAATATTTTATTTTAGTGACAAATTATCGTTATAATAAAGCCTGTTTTTCAGAAACTGAATTAGTTTGCTCAAATAATAGTTTCGCATCAAAAAGTGTGCTGGATTATTTTTTAATCTGTTTTATTTCTCTATTTTATCTCTCTGTGCCAAGTCATATACAGGTGTACCCAGTGCCCAGTTTATTGTGCCTGACATTAATTGATTTTTCCGTTTTAAGCAGCACTTAGTGTTCAGTCAGCTTCCACTTCTTTGTTTGTGCGTTATTTCCGTATGTGTTTATAATTCATTTCAGGCAGCTGCAGGGTGGCAATTTACAGTCTACTTTCATCCAGACAGAAAAACCTCAAATTTCACAATGCATGACCGAGTGTTTCTTCTGCTAGGACTGTGCCCTGCCGTCCTGAGGGTCGAGGGAACAATTTTGCCTCTTTGTAGGAAAACACTGAGAGAAAACCCATTCCAACCACCGATTCGCCATCCATCCCGTGACTTATTGCAACTTTAGCATGCGATTCGCCGATCAAATTAACTCATCCATTAAAGTGTATAAATATAATCATTGTTTTTTTTCCCCCAACGACCCTCGTCCATTAATACGCAGTTGCTACAGTGAGGGAAAGCACTTAAACTGACAGCGCTCCGGGCGCAGTGAATTCGTTAGTTTGGAAATCAGATTACAGTGGGAATGGCGGTCAGCTGTGTCCACTTGCTAAAACAACAGTGCGTCTTGGGTGCATGCAGTCATGCAGCCTCACTGGTGCTGTGTTTCTATGAGATTACGGGCTACTTCAGTTGGGGAACTGTAGGGAGAAATTCAGTTACTGAGGTCTATAGGTCAGCGGTTGTTATAGCTATAATGCTTCCATTCTGTTTACAGCTGGACTTCAGATTCATCTGCTAATGATCATCAATGACAGAATGTTTCATGAAACCTTTTTTTCCCCTAAATACATGGACCAAAAAGGGAACGGAGCCCTCGCCGGCAGTGAGTAATGCAAATGGTTTAACGCCATATTGCCTCAAAAGGCTCTAACGTGTAATTAAAGTTTAAAGTCACGGCGTGGTTTCGGCCGTATGAAAGACATTTTGTAATCAGTAATCTAGGTTCAAAGTTGCGTTAAATAAAATGTCCCAGAATGAGCTTCATCGGCATATTCAGTTTTCACCGTTAATCAAAGTTACATTACTGCAGGTTAAAATAAAACATCACTGAATGGTGGGAAACGGTTGTGCTTCTCTAAATTTGTATTGCAGGAGTAACATAACCCTCTCCGCCATTATCTGCACTGTCCTGCCCCCACCCTGCAACAAAATGACGGCTTACACGTGAACATTTGCACAGATGTGACATGCTATCCAAACAC